AAACATTAATATTAATATTATTAGTTAAAAATTAAAAAAAAAATAAAACTGGGAAGCCTTGCTGTCCGACAGCCGTGCTCATGTGTCAAACCTTGTAGTCCGGTTTCTCTGAGACCCGCGTCTCCAGAATCAGGAGTCCAAAAGCACCGAGGCGGCGCTGGTGTCCGGCTGCTGCTCTCCAATGGAAAAAAAAAAAGGCAATTCTTAAATCGCAAAGTCTCAAAAGGAAAAATTTAACTTCATCCTTGCAGGAAGGAGAAGAAGGAAAACAAGTGAAACCCTCCTAACCGTTGATTTCCCAACAACCACATTCTCAGATTCTCCAAAACGAGAGGTCTGGAGCGAGCAGAACGTTTGAGGTGGTGGTGTCGGACGGTGGGTTGGAGGTGAACGGACGCCAGCCACAGGTCCAAAAAAAAACAAACAAAAGGTGTCTTTGTGCATCAAGACAAAAAGAACCAACGCCGTCCCGTCCAGACGATTGTTAGTTAGGCTGGCAGTAGAGGACCCCTCCCCTCTGTAGTCATGCCAGGTACTGTTGCATCGCCGTCTTCGCCCTGCGAGACAAACACACAGTCAGTCCACCCTGCTTCACTAACAGTGTCTAGAAGGTTCTGTGTTTTCATGATTTGCTGTCGAGGCCCACCTGTCACTGAGGTTGGAGTCGGAGGCCTGGGTGAGTTTGTGCAAGATGTCCACGAAGCCCATCTCCCTCAGCTTGTCCTGACGCTCCTGAGAACCTGGAAGAACACACAAACCAGAGGAAGATGTATGAAAATGGATTCAATGCATCGCCTATAATTTCATTTTACAGTTCCAAAAACAGACAGATGAGTAAATGTCGTTGTCATTTCTTTCTTGTTTTCATCCAGAGCAGAGGACTGATGATCTCTTCTGGTTCTGCAGAGGCAAGAATATGAGACGATCTGTAAACCGATAATGATGAGTGTCCCTTACCGTCCTCCTCATTCCAGATCAGGTTTGAGATGCAGAAGGTGGCGGCGAGCTGCAGTTTCACATTTGAATGACCCTGAAGAAAAAAAACGACAGAACAAAAACACAGGTGATATATCCTCAATAAAACATCTTGCATAGAAACATTCTTAAAGTTTATCAAAAGTGAGCAACGGGAACTGTTATCCTGCACATTACCATGTAGTATTTGATTTTCTGGAGCATGTCGTCATTGGTCATGATGAGATCCTTGGCTGTGTTGCCGTCGGCGATGTTGGCTAAGATGCACAACGTCTGACAGATAAGAAACGTTGTGTTACATCAGTGGCGCTGTTTGAACATTTCGTTCTTTGTGTTTCAGAGAAACAAAGCTTTGATGAACTCATTTTCTCTGATGGTTTCAGATTCAGAAAATAGCTGCAGGTTGTTTTTCTTAATGAGGCGCTCACCTGTTCTTTGACCTCTGTACTGTGCTCTGCTTCCAGGATGAGGGTCACTGCCTGCATGATCTGCTTCCCATGAGAACTCATGATCTGGTCGATGTGCTGACGACACCAGAGGAGAGGAGAGAGTCAGTGCTGCTGGGTTTTCTCTCATTTGCGGAGAATTAATGCAGATTCAGCACATGTCGGGTTCGTATGTATTCAAATCTACAGAGCAGGTAAGAAAATGTGAAGCATTCAAGGTTGGAGCTGACGATCAAATAGGTGTTTCTAAAACAGTTGACAGTGTACAGTCGTGTCATGGCCCTGAAACAAGTGCTACTAAGTTTAGTTTGGACCAGTCACAGACTTAATTCTGTTCAGTCCACACGGTCGGTGTTTGAGACTGAAGGTAAATTGGCCAAAGAAAGACTTTTACTTGCTTCTAGCCTCTGATCATGTCTCACCGGGCGCGTTGAAAGCAGATTGCGGAGCAAACCGAGGGTCTTCATCAGCACGTTGGTGTCGGGGTCTGACAGCAGACGGAACAACTGTTCTGTACCCAAACATCGGACAATCTCCACCTTCACCTTCTGATCTGCCTGAAACGCCATGTTCTAAACACACAGAAGTTTCGTCATGAAATAATCACAAAACACAAATCTATCTCGCCCCGTTTAAACATGACACAGTGGGTAGAGAGTTTTTTCTAACATTCACAGTCCTTGAAAGCAAGTCTCAAATTAGATTTCCACGTTCATTTAGGTCTCAAAGTGTAAAAGGAGGCAGTCGAGGAAATGCTCAAAATCCTATTCTTACCATTAGGGCCCAGATCCCATTGACCCTCAGCGCAGGACTGTCACTCTGGGTCAGACTGCATAGTAACTCAATTACCCCCGACTCCAGGATCGGCTGCAGATGAACAGAAACAAATGGTGTCAATATCAAACCTGCAATAACTGATCTGTTTTGGCCACACGGGGGCAGTGGAGACATCCAGCAGCTACTCTTAGTCATTTGAAGTCATGTTGACCTGAGATCGGTAAACATGTGTCTGTGTGTGTGTGTGTGTGTGTGTGTGTGTGTGTACCTCTTTACTGGGTGAGAACTCCAACAGTAGATTGCATAGTGTAGAGGAGGCCATCACCAAGACTTCATCAGGGGCGTTCTGGAGCAGCTACGTACAACAAGAACACAGCGTTACTCAATAATAACACACCAGGTTACATCTACTTCATTAAGTGAGCCTGAAAAAAAGTGACCTTCATGAGGGGTTTCCACACCGCGTGGTCGTGGAAGCTGGTCCTCAGCTGCTGCACTGATCGTGAAAGACTGTGAAGACACCTGGAAAAAATACATAAATAAACTAATTCTAATCAGCAGCCCTTGAATATGCTTTTCACTAAAATTTAAAATTCATTTTAGAAAAGATGAATAACATCCTCTCTTCTGATATAATTCATACGAAACAATTTAAAAATCATCAGGACTCAAATATTTGTTACAGGGACTATTGGGAAATGTCATGCAATCATCAGGATGGGAAGACGAGGAGAGCGGCTCGTACTGTACCTGACAGCTGCCAAGCGGACCTTAATGCTGGATTCCGAAAGGCCACTGACTATCCGGTCCATCATGTTCTCCGTCTCTGTGATCTGCAAAAAAAACAGAAGAGGAGGGGTTAGACAATAAACATGTATGCATGAAATTATACTGTTGATTCCTAAACAAAAATACAACCAGAGGAAAGTCACCTTTTTACGAATGTCCTCGTCGTTAGAGCCGAGTGAGGCGTAAAGTTTGAAAGCAGCTTGTCTCAGCTCGTGTGCGTGTTTCAGGTCGTGGTCCAGCTGCAAATGATTTAAAAAAACTCATCATTAAGTAGTTGCAGGAAAACATTCGTAGCAAAAGATTACACCAACAATTACATCTGCCCCTTTCCACCTCTGTAAAATAATGTCAGTGACTGACCCTCTTGATGTCCGTGATGGCGGACACAGAGCTGGGGTATTTAAAGTAGTCGGCCAGCATGGCCACCAGGTGGTCGGTGGTGCTGGCGATCCTCTGCAGCTCCACATCGGGCTCCATCAGGTAAGCCAACGTCTCTGCACCCTCCACCCGCTCCTCGAGCAAATGCTCTTTACTACACATCCGCACCAAGCACGGCAGGGTCTGGGTGAGAGACAGAGTCATATTTACAGTCACTCAAAAAGTGTCACTAATGTTGTATAATTATGATAATAAATAAAAAGGTCTCAGGAAATCCAACCTTTAGGACTATGCAGCTGTCATCTGTCCTAATTGCACCCGCTCGACACATGTACGTTAAACTGAGACAAGATTTCACATTTAAGTATACAGGAAATACAGTCACATATGATTCATGAATAATAATTCATGCGGGTCTACATCACTCACCATTTGGCCGCTGTTAGCTGCATTTCAATGGGTTGATCCCTTTGCATCATTCTGACAAATACCTGAGAGAGCAGCTCCCCATCCACCAGCACTGAGGGGAAAAACAGATACATGGGTTGAAAAGTGAAGCTCATGAGAAGAGACAGGAAGAGAAGAGAAGAGACGAGACGAGAAGAGAAGAGAAGAGACGAGAAGAGACGAGAGGAGACGAGAAGAGAAGAGACGAGAAGAGAAGAGATGAGACGAGACGAGAAGAGAAAAGACGAGAGGAGACGAGAAGAGAAGAGAAAAGACGAGAAGAGACGAGAAGAGACAAGACGAGACAAGACTTCCTCACCATTCACCAGTGTCATGGAGACCTGAGTGTTCTCATAGGCCAGGACTGAGAAACACTTTAACGCCTGCATCCGGACCTGGAGAGACATTGAGGTCAGAAGGAGACGACACAAAGAGTCTGAGTACGTACAAGGTTTTATAATGAACTGTCAAATACTGTACACACACACTCAGGGACGGACATGTACCTTATAAGAGCGTGAGATAAGTAGAGGGGCGATGTTCTGGATGGCACCGTGGTTGAAAAGAACCGTCTGGTGCTCCGGAGTCTGCAGACAAACAAACATATGATCAACTACAACAATCTTAGTCTGGCTTCAAGTACGCAGGACTCCACAGTGTTTGACCAAATACCAACAAATACCTTACAACAGTGGGAGAAGATCTGTGTGATGTACTCCTGGGTTCTCTGTGAGCGGCTCAGTAGAGACATTAGATGGGGAATCACAGTGGGGTCCTAAAAAAGACAGAGTGAATCACCACATGTGGCTGAGGAAGGAGCTGTTGCTCAGTCAACATAGGCTTGTGTTAAATCTACATTAACCAGTATTAGTGATATTATCATTGAAATATTTGTATATATTATACTACGTAAAATACTATATATAATATTTTAGATTATTAAGGAGCAGCCTTTCCAGCACAAGAGGACACAAATTGATGTCAGACTAGACACGCTACTGTATGAATGAAGGGAAATGGTCGATACATTTATCTAATTATTGCATTTAATGATTTAATAATTAAAACTGATTTTTGTGACTGTTACTCTGCACTCAATGTTTGAGCTAATCAGAAAGGTGATGGCCACAAGCACATTGTTGCTCATGTGTTCAGCAGGTAAAACATTTTCAAGACAACCTACAGTGTAGAGCAGCTGCACAGGAGTGACCGGACTGATGAAGACCGTTCTCAGGCATCGAAGGCAAGCTTCAATGAAGATCAGGTCTGGACACAAGAGACCTGCGAGCACAAAACACAAGGTATTGTTAAGACCCGGGTCTCCAAGCAAAGGTCAGCATGGCTGTTGACTTCTGCAGATGTGAAGGAGTGTCCGTCCCAACCTTGGAGAAGAGCGGGGATGATGTGACAGTCCACCAGGGACTTGATGTTGTTCTCGGTGCCCATGGCCAAGCTGCCCAGCACCACAGCGCACTCGGTCCGCAGCTCCAGACTGGACGAGCTCTGCTGGAGAAGGTATAGTAACCTGGAAACAATGAAGAAACACACACACACTAAAGCAAGTTGCCTGTAAAAGTGTGAAGAAACTATAAAGTGAAAGGAACTTGGAGATAGTAAAGTGCATTTCGAGTTTTGATAGTTCTGATGTATTTTTATTCCGTCTCATAAGAGACATACCTCGGCACAGCTCCGAGGACGATCAGATTGGCCTTCTGCTTGTTGTTTCCGATGACAGCATTCTTCATGTCACTGTGAAATCAGACGTGGGCACACACATGAAAGGTCCCTTCTTGGTAATGTCTTTGAAGCAACTGTGACAAATGTGCTTCGCTAGCATAACAAAACTTTAAGGGCTGACATGGCAACACTGCAGATCACTGCCTGTGACGTACTGTATATTTCTTTCCAAATAACAGTGTAGCAGCATCTCAGTACATCAATGTGTTGTACTTGTACTGATAAAAACATGTGGGTGCAGGCAACTAAACAAAAAGGAGATTCTGTTCCATGTTGATGTGATTGCATCGCATTATTTCTGCAGATTTGTCATCTGCACATTCAAGCTGCCAATCTCCTGTTGTACCACAGCCAAAAGTTGTTCTACCAGATTCATCTTTGGTGACTGAAGAGGCCACAGAAGTTCAATGAACTTACTGACGTGAACATTTTCTGAAGCTCAAGGATTTTGCAGGGTTTTATGCATTGTACTGTAGCCACATGCTTGGCAAATGGGATAACTGCGTGGATAAGCAGGTGTAAAGGTGTTCCTAATAAAGTGATAGAGTGAGAATATGTATAAGTACATAAGAATGAGTCTGTTCATTTGTGTTCACTGCATTTTTCAACCCAGCCTTTCTCCCTCTCTGCAAGCGCCTTAGATGACATCAGACAGCAGGTGAGTGGGGCTAGTGGAAAAGTACAGCTGTAGCTGTAGCAGGCAGTCAAGTCAGTCAGGTGTTCAGCTAGTGGAGTGGTCCAGGTCGTAACCTAAGCTAGTCTTTCAGAAGTTAAAAATAACGATGTAATAGTCAGAGTCTAGGTCAGTGCAATCGAGACAGAGTGAAAGTGAGCCAGGGAGAGAGAGGGAAAAGCATTTTGAAATAGGCCGTCACACGAAAGGCTGTGCATGTAAACACAGAGGTCAAGCCTGTGCAGCAACAACACAATCAGTAATGTCGTCTACAGAATAACTTCAATGTACGACATTCAAATAGGTTATTTTAATCCACCACCTACAGCAACACCAGCTGATTTCATGAAAAAAAGAAAAAGAAATCTGGCTGTGGTGAAATGCATCGGTTTTAAAGTCCACAGTCCTCCAGTAAACTAGATGGTGAAATAGCAAAAGGACAGGCAGCCATTTACTGCAAACCAGACCTTTGAATACCCGTTCCCTGCATGCACAAGGGAGGACAATGTTTGGGTAGGTATTAAAACAGCAGGACTTACATGACTCCCTGCAGCACTTTCTGTGGGTCGGGGTCGAACAGTCTGTCAACATAATGGCGACTAGTGGCGGTGACTTCCTGCATGAGGACAAATGTAACACACAAGTGACAAAATGACAAAAACAATCTGTACTTTATTATTTATTGATTGTTTATTGATTATTTCAACATAGAATAATTAAAGGGATAGTTAACCAGTTGTCAAGAAGCCAAGGAGTTTCAGGGGTAAACAGTGTTGCAGCCCAACCAAAGAGTAAATGAAAAACTTAAAATGCATGTTGTGTTATATATGTTTGAAGAATCAATCACCATTTACTTCAATTGGATTGTATTTGGCTGCAACACTGTTTACCCCTGAAACTCCTGAAGCGTTGTGTGGACTCAAACACTTCACCCACCCCTCCATCGGCACAGTGGTGAGATAATGAGTGCATTTTTATTTTTGGATGAGCTATCCCTTTAATCTCTTCAAATATAAGAAGAAAAACACATGTTCCATTCATTGATTTGTGATAGTTTAACTAAAGTTTAATGGTTTGAATCCCTGGCAACGGGACCTGACACATGTGGCACAATAAAACTTTGTTTATCACTGAGAGCTCTGACCAGAACTTTCCACATGACCCCCAGAGGAGTAACCCTCACCCAGCTGACAACACACTGATGCTACTGGTGCCAACATGGAGCTCAGCACATTCTGTCCCTGCCTTTATCCTCCAGCATACAACAACACACAGAGCAGAGGAGCAAATAAATGCACGCGTAGATAATGAGATATAAAACATTCTTAAAAGGTTGCTAACAGTGTTATTTTTTTTGCATGTGGGGGCGTTTTACTGTCCTGAACACGATCAATTTCGAATCAATTTCCACGCTAACTTCAGCCAAGTTACACCTGACGACCGCCGGCGGCTGCTGGGGCAACATTCAAAAACACACCGGCTGTAAATGAGACTTTCAGCCGCTGACGGAGCTTTAACCTGAGAAAACTCCCAGAGGAAACCAGTGAGTGGTTAGCTTAGCTAGCTTGACCACAGGGCTGGTGGTTAGCTAACGTTAGCTCGCTGAACTACGCTAAGTCAGCTGTGTAATTCGCAACCCACAGCGACACAAGTGTGATGATAATGTAAGTGGGTGGTTGGAATAAGAAGATCGGATGTGCAACTTGTTTTCTACTCTGTATTATTCACTCAGTGTGTGTGTGTGTGTGTTTGGATCATAGTAGCGGCAGCGCTGTCACTTAGCACTTAGCTGCTAACTCATTCCGAGTGACACTTGACAGCTACTTCTTTCGCTCGATTTGCGTCACTTCACACACCGGCCCGGGGCGGGCGGACACTAACCACACGCATCCCTCTCGGTGTCTGGAGCGTACCCGCCCGCCCGGGTGAGGCCGGAGATTGAAAACGGTTCAACGCACACTACGTAGGCGCGCCGCTCCACAGTGCTACATGTTGCAAAGCCTTTAAGTTAGCTCGATGCTAACAGAGGACACACACACACACCTCCGCTGTTTGACCGATTCGATTAAATGAACCCCGCGCTGCGGCAGTTAGCGCGATGCTAACGTGGCTACGGGGGGGGTGACACTCACAGACAGCACGCTGATGCGGAGAGGGGCCTCCAGCAGACACGCCATCTCTCT